ACCTTCAATTCCCAACTATAGTTAAGAATTCAATCCCTTCAAAGAGACAAATATTGGTAATATTTATCTATATTTCAAAAGTTCCATCAATTTGATCTTTTTCCTTTATTACCAAGTTGCTTTCAAAGTTATGAATGGAAAGGCTACTTTTTCTGGTCCAATAGAGTTCCTTTTGGTTTAAAATATGTTAGAGGGGGAATGGCACAGAGGATAGAGAGGAAATATTTTAAATGAAAATGATTCCAAATCAACTATTTTTCAGTTTATGTCAATTTTATGTGTAAGTAATGTTGGCTGCAGTATTTAACTTGCAGTATTTAACTTTTTTGATGATATAATATTTGATGCAAAAGAATGTATGTAGCCTCTCTACCCTATCTAGAAGTTACTCAGAAGTTATTTGACTTTTGTTCACAGGTAGATGCTTTATGCACCTGGATGCAGAATGAGCACAAGGTCCAGGCCAATAGCTATTTAAGGAGTTAGCATTTCAAACAGCTTAAAGTACTTTTGCACTTTGCCTAATCTTCCTACTACACAGTGGTGGTCTCAAGCTTTCAAAAGCTTTGAAATTCAAAACTACATGCATAAGGAAAACTACCTTTACTTTGTGTCTGATTCTTTTATCTTCTTACATTCTGGGGATGCTAAAGTGTTTTATATCCCTTTTCAAAGTCTTCCAAAAAATTGTCAGAAATACTTTTTTTTTAATGTTTGTTTCCCTTAAAGAATTTTTAGACAGGCAGCAAGTTTTGAGTATGCCTTAGAAGAAGGAACTACAAATAGCTGGTTAAAGAGGAAGGAATAGAGAAGTAAGCTCAGAAAAGCACCCAGTTCAGTGCTTAAAGGAAAGAGCTTCTGGTCTGACAAATCTCAGTTTTAAAGTATGCTAGTCACTTACCAGCTAAGGAGACCTTAGAAAAATTAGCTAGCCTTTCTAAATTGACTTACTTGGTTCAATGAGAATAATAATATTTAGTTCTTAAAGTTGTGTGGGGACTGAGAGAATGTTTAGCACAGAATTAGCTGGTGTTATTCTTCACTCTAGCTAGTATTCACTAATGAATATGAAGCAGAGAAAAACAGATAATGATTGCATAGTAAAGAATATAGAATACAGAGCCCAAAATGTAAGTGAAGATAAATTGGGGGGTTGTTTAGACATCTAAGTAACAAACTATACTGTGGCCTTATGCTAACACATGAAGGAAAAAAAAAAGAAAATGGATTCTAGAGACACTGAATTTAAAATTTATAGGCTAATTGTGGCTAACTGGTGATGAAGGAGAAGAATCAGAATGACACTCAGGTTCTGGCTTGGATGGCAGTATCACCCATTTACTGTGACTTTTGGTGAGCTGGATAAATATGGGTCTTGAGAGCAAAAGAAAAATTTTTTGATTTTAGATACAGATGTTGGAACCATTAATATGTATAGTATGTTAATTAAAGATATGGGACTGGAGATTATCAAAGGAGAGGTCTTGAGTGAATTAAGAACAAAATCCCATGAGCCTCTATTACTTAATGGTTGTAAAGAAGAAAAATTTGCAAAGACACAGAGATCACTAATGAGGAAAGCACAGACAGTATCATGAAACTGATGAGAAGAGTTTCAAGAAGGAAAAGTAGTCAATGGCACTAAATGTTGCTGAGAAATCAAGTACTCACAAAAATCTATTGGTAGCAGATGACAAAGAACATTTATACTGGGGAGGGAAAAAAGGTATAAACACAATAGGCTGATCTGCTCTCTTCTACCAAAGTGCTGCTAACCACAAAACTGTTTCGAGTTCATTTTTTCCAATGGCATACAAACACAGAAAATCAGATTTAGTCAAACAAGTTCATAGACACATCAGTTCAAAAATTAGCATTAAGAGGTTTCAACAAAAATGGCTCTAGGTTATTTCAAGTTTTATCAACTTACTGTCCATTAAATTTTTTCCTCATATTACTCAAGGAAAAAAAAAATCACTACATTCCTCTTGAATGGCAACAGAGACTTTGAATGCATGATTTTATCTCCAATGTAAGGGAGTAAAATGCAACCGTCAACTATTCATATCTTGCCCCAAATACGTAAAAGCTTTCTTCTCCTTGTAGAAAACTAGTTTCTACTCTCCCTCGGAAGCCAATGTACTAAGAAGACATTCCCTAAATCTGTCCATCTAAGATCGGTAAATATTTGAACCTGATGTTCCAAGGATTCTAAATACCTAAAAGAATCAGAGTTACAGTTAGAGAAACCACTAAAAGAACATCATTTCTTTACCTTGGGGTACCCGGTAAAATTATAACCAATAGTTAAACTTGAAGTAACTTTCACTGAAGTATTTACAATTACCTTTATCTCTATTTGGTGGCAATAACATTAAATTTTATTAAGAAGACAAATTACATGTTGTCAATTACCAATAAGAGAAATATTTGTGATATAAATATGGAAATTTTTAAATTTCTCTCTTCTATCCCAAATGTTCCAGACACCAAAGTATCTGGGGGGAAAAAAACCAAACCATAAAAATAAACAGACATTTAAAAAAACACTTTCCTCTGAAATAAACACAAATGACATAAATGACAAACATACCAGCATTAGCTCTGAAAGTCAGATACTAAATTATCAGTTCATTGAAATAAATGCTGACAGAAAACAAGTTAAATTATTTAAATTGCAAAATGAGCTAGATTATTTAACTGAAGACCATACATGCAAAAATACTGGTTGCATCAGGGAGTTATAGCTCAGCCCAAGCCTTATCATTACTCCCCATTTATAAGAAAAATCAGGATTGCGTTAGAACTGTCTTAACACACCTTAAGTTTATTCTGGACTGTTACTCAACTAGTTTATAAGCCAGTTAACACCTATTCTATTTAACAGACAAGCTATTAAGAGTATACATAATCCATGGTCACTGCCAAAAGGATGCTCTTAACGACAAGAGAAACAATGTGTGTCTAGCACCATTCTATGTGTGTAAAGTTAGCTTACCTTTAACTGAAACCTATAAAATATTGGAAAGATGCTGACATTCCATTTCAAAACCTGCAATTATACATAAAAGTTCTCTGTTTCCAAAGTGTATTTTTAAAAACTCAAAATTAAGAAATGCACAAATAATGACAAAGGTAGTCATACAGGTTAACTGGCACCAATCCAATCTTCTAATGCTAACTGGCACTAATCCAGTCCCCTCCTAAAAATGTTTCTGATATATTTTCTTGGAAGAAAATATTTCTTCAGGTATGTGCTTATAATGGAAGAAAAAGGAAAGCCAGCCTGAATAACAAAGCCAGTGTACAACACTAAGCCCCATACATACTGACAAATACATAAAATAAGTAAAAAAAAATCCAACAGAGATGTAATTGCTCACTTAAGTGGGTAAAAGTTTTTCCAATTTCCTTCAGTTGATTTTAATATCAAAAAAATGGATTTATATCCATCTACATCTTGGAAAATGGTGTTGAAAATAGGCTTTTAGGCAAAAACTAATCAACAAGTCAGAGAGCTCCATAGGCACACTTTAACAGAACATTTAAGGAGCTACATATTAGAAAAACTTTGAAGCACATCCTGCTGGTGTCGATATAAACTGGCATAACTTTTTAGAAAAACGGGCCAGTGTAGTGTTCATATCCTTTGATCTAGGTAAGCCCACTACAGGGGATATTTCCAAAAGAAATATTTTTTAAAAAGAAAAATATTTTACAGCTACACACAGAAGTGTGTTCAGTGTAATACTATATAAAATGATGAAAAATTAGCAACAACCTAGAAGTAGACAAGTCAAAAGACTAGGTTAATTACAGTCACATCAACTGAAGAGAATTACAGTTTTTGCAATGAAAACAATTTCAACAGATAGTTAAGTGAAAAAAACATAAAACTGCACAAATTCTTAATTATTGGAAAAATGCAAGAATATGGTAAGATAGAGAAGGGAACAGGAAAAAAATGAGATGACCAAACAATGATCTTCTGGTGGGTAGATAGGTAAATTTTCTTGATTTCATTATTATTACAGTATTGTTTAAGCAACAGATATAGCAGAAAAGCATTAATTTAAAAACCTTTGCATGATTTGGAACAAGCAGCATAGCAAATACAATGGCTGAAAACGCTTAGCTGGCATTTGGTCTGATTATTGCAATGATTATTGCAATTTATACCTCAATTTCTATGAGAACAAAGAGCAACAATATAAAGAAAACAGTCTCTAAAAAATATTCTGGTACTGAAACACACTACGATTATTTCATAAATAAGAAATGTAAACTGAATCAGATACTTTAAAATAAGTTTTAGTAGCCTAACCAATAGCTTTTAAAAATATAAATCTTTTCATTTCCTGTTTCAAAATGTTAATTACTTATCTCCACCTTTGAAAGAAATGAATAGTTTGAATGAAGAAAGCAGTTTTACTTTGTTCATAATATGAATCAATGGCCTTTTTAAAAACAAAGCTAAAATTATGAGCATATTAAAATGTCAACATATTATTAAATTAAAATATACTGAAATTAAAAGGGGGGTGTACAGAGGTTAAAAATTAAACAGTTAGCATTTCAATTGATTAAAAAAGACTGATTTAAGCCTATCACATTTATCTTTCAGCAACTTAACATTTTAAGTTTAAGGAAAATGACATATCAAATGAACCTCCTCAATATGTCATTTATAAAAACTGACAATCGACTGTTCGAACAACCAATCCAAAAGAAAACTCTGTTATTGGAGAGGATTTTGATTCTAAGATTTTTTAATGACATTCATATTTTGAACTAAAAATGATAGGAGAAAGTCAAGTTTGATTCTCTGCGAACACCTATTTCCTGTCCAAACAGCCCTTTTGTTCTGCTTCCCTGCTTAATTTTAGTGTTCAGTTTGCATCAGAAAATAAAAACAATGACAAAACGTAGCACACACAGAATCATAAAGGAGCAAAATTATAAAATAAAGGATCATAAAAAGATTAGAACAAAAATCCTACCAACAAAACCTCCACAATTTTCTGTTTGCTTCACCTCAGATTAACTTCACTTGAAGCTGTACTCCAAAGCAACCAAACCTGAATACCAAGCTCCACCCTCTCCAATTCTAGTGGCTGAAGAGTAAAATCTCCTCCCTGTTAGTGAAACTGATCATTCTGATTGGATACGGCTAATATCCATTATTTTAAAGAACTTTTCCTTGCTAGCAGGTTAGGTTAGATACACTAAAACCCCCTGGATAAGCTGGTTTCTTAAAGAAACAGTAGGAAAGGTTTCAGTTTTCCCATCATATACTGTTGCTTACCCTTGTCTAGGTGTAAAATAAACTAAGTGACGTAAATGAAAATCTCACAGAAGCAGTTTTAATTTGGAGTTCAGTGACCAACTGTTTAAAATACAATGCTTTTAGCCTAAATTATTTGATTATTTTTACGGAGCAATGAAGGTGAAGTTATGTTTTAAAGACAGATTATTTTTAATAGAGTTCACACTTTATCTTAAAATTTTAAAACGGCAACAGAAAATCCATTACAATATGTTGCTAAGAGGAACAAACCGGCATTTTTTCTAAGACTTAAGGAGAAAACTAAAGCTTAAGTGAAAATATATAGCACTAAAACACTGAAGGCAAAAGATTCATTTCTAAGATGTCTATCAAATTCACTGACATTTATGTTCTCAGTATCACAACAGAGTAGAAATTTCAGTGACATCCAAGGTTGATATTTCTACTTAAAACTGAAGAAAAAACTGGGCAGAAATATTATTTATATTACATTTAACAGATCTGATATGTGAGTATTTTACCAAGGTTAATGCTTAACCATTTGCAAACAGAGATCTAAAAGCAAAAGGCACTTGTTCTAATGACATGATCAGGTATAAAATTTAGAAAAGTTTAAGTCTTTTTCATCTTTTTTTTTTAAGTATGGAAACTACTTCACACTCTATTACTTCAAAGTGGCATGGGCATCCTAAAGTGAAGGGTATATTCCTCTTAAACTTCTCACTAAGCTATATTAATATTTTTACTACAGAGATCCTAAAGAGACACTATTTAGGAACTCCGATTTTTAAGCAAAAAAGACCTACTGTCACTTTATACATACCAAGTTTGCTATTTTTATACTCTAAGTTTATATATTTTAATTAGAATTGCTTATGTTTAAGTAGCTTGGCCCATTAAACATTACTCAGACATTAACCATCATCTGATTGATTCAAAGGCATTTAATGTGTAGTTTACTGTGTAAGTATAATTTTTACCTCTACAAAAAATCCTGTGATTCATAAACTCAAAATTAAAGCATATTAGAGTGGCTTCTCCTTTAAATATGTTTTCAATGTTCAGTTTGCATCAGAAAACAAAAAATAACAAAAGCTTTAAACATTTTAATTTAAATTTAAAGTTTCCAAAGTTCAAAATCCTGCAACTATTTTTCCTCAGAGAAAATTCACATATTAGAACATAAAGCCAACAAAATTGCTTTGAATACAAAGGCAAGTCTTTGTAACAAACTGAAAATTCACATAATTGCAACTAGACATGAATATGGAGCAATACCCTGCTGAAGCCCAAACAGCTGCATAATCTATTATGCCCTTTAAGTGGACAAATTGAAAGAGCCAATTCACAGAGGTCTAGTCCCAAGATCCTTTGCAAGGATTCACTGCTTTGAATGCCCAGCACTTCATGAGTCAAGTTCAGGTTTTCTTCCCACTGTGTGTCGGACACTCTTGCAAAAGAACACTGGAAGCAGAGAAGGTACAGAAGCAATTGGCAGAAAGAATATATAGCTTGAATAACAGCATAAGACTTGAGGGAAATTGACTGTAGATGGACAAAAGTTTTATGGGGAAAAAAAAGGAGAGATGGCAAATATTTTAATCTCAAAACCTGGCAAGCATAAAATTAGTAGATAGTTATGGCAACTAAATAAACCTTTGCTCTCGCATCAGTTTTTTCACTTCAAAGTTAATTATGAAACAAACATGAATCAAACACTAATATAACACCAAGACCACTATCAATCTATATATAACCAAGAGAAAAGCCAACTGTGGACTTAGTGATTGATTGCAGATTGTTCTAAGATCTCTGGGACCTGCTTGAAAGAACATCAACAAGGTGATTATCATTTTAGGTAGCAAACAGGTTAAAATTAAAGAGTAGCTTATTCCGTTTCTACATCAGGAGCAGTGGAAAACAACAGCAAAAAATAAATAAAAAGAAAGCAATGTTAAAACCACAAAATTTGTAACTAAGATAATATGAAAACAATATTGCTTCTCAGGAACAAGGAGCCTGCAGAAACCTCTGGAGCTCCCTGATTACATGCTACCACAATACTTTTTAAGCATCAAGTATTCAAAGGACTTATTGTATTATTATTTGTGGGAGCCCAGAAAGTTTCCCAAATCTTATCAGCTAAAAACAATTTAGAAGAGAACAAGCCATTGAACAATTTGGTCCCATTTCACTTTTGATTAAGAAGACTCTGCTTATATGAAAAATCAATATCTAGAGTATTAGCAACAGCTTTTAGCAGAATACATACAGAACAGGGCAAACACTTTCTTAGAATTTTGAAGGATTCCAGATAGTTCAAACTGCTCTTTCTACAAAAGAAATTAAACCTGAGCATTTTCTCTGGGCACAATTGGTGGTTCATTGTAGCAGCTGATAAAAAGGCCACCCTGACATTAGCAAAACATGACTGGGATCACTAAGGATGAACTCTGAAAAACACCATTCAATAGGGAATAAAACAAAAAAAAAAATTCCCTGGCAAATACACATTGCCTACAAAAGTAAGCTATATATTTGAGCTTGCAATTCCTGGTGTATATCTGCTGACTCCTTAGGGAAAAGATTACAAGGTATGTATGGGGAGTTAGGGAGGGTGGTAATGGCCTATTCATTCAAACACTGAACACGAAGGAAATATAAAGGAAACATTAAGGAAACATACAGATAAGAAAGCATAAACCAAGCTGATAGGATAAGGTATCTTTCTATGAAAGACAGTAAATTGCTTTGTTTTAGGTCTCAAGGGATAAACAAGGTCACCGATTAATGCAGAATAAAAAGAAACAGGGATCACAACAGTGACACAAATATAAAAGAGAATACATTGATAATACCTAACTATTAAGATTTTAAGTCATAAATTTTCATGTGCCAAATAACATATCACAGGAAAAAGTGCTAGACATAGAAAAATGAAGAGAAAATAGACAGGTCAACTTTAAATTCCCCTTTCTCCATAGCAGCCTAAACCAGAAGAAAAATAAATAAAATATTACGTAAAAGATGAAGACTAATTCTTTACATAGCTACCAAAAGAACTTTTCTCAACCATTTTAGTCAGTCAAAAGAAAATGAACAATTCTGAAAAGCAAAAGTTGAGTAGATAACATTCTCTATAAACTATACAGTAACACTGAAAAGTTAACAGAGTTAGTTTATTCATTCACCAAATCTTTTGAATGTCTATTATGCGCTGAGGATACCACAGTAAATAAAATGGATATAGTCCCTACCATTGTAGAAACTTACGAACAAGTCAAGACCAGTGCTGCCTCACAGAAACAGAATGAGAGCCACATGTGATTTTCTGTTTCTTAGCAGTCACATTGAAACATAAAAATTGGCTGGGCATGGTAGCTCACATCTGTAATCCCAAGATTTTCAGAGGCCAAGGCAGACAGATCACTTGAGCTCAGGAGTTCAAGATCAGCCTGGGCAACACAGTGAAACCCTGTCTCTACAAAAAATAAAAAAAAATTTTTTTAATTAACCAGGCGTGGTGGCACCCGCCTATAGTCCCAGCTACTTGGGAGGCTGAGGTGGGAGGATCTCTTGAGCCAGGGAGGTTGAGACTACAGTGAACCAAGATCACGCCACTGCACTCTATCCTGGGCGGCAAAGGCAAGGTGTGTCTCAAAAACAAAACAACAACAACAACAGCAACAAAAACAAAATTAATAGGCTGGGTGCCGGTGGTGCACAACTATAGTCCCAGCTACTTGGGAGGTCGAGGCAGGAGAATTGCCTGAACTAAGAAGGCAGAGGTTGCAGTGTGCCAAGATCGCACCACTGCATTCCAGCCTGGACAACAGAGGTCTCATAAAAAAAATTTTTTAATAAAATAAATAAAATTAACACTAATAGTATATTTTAACACAATATATGTAAAATATTACTTCAATATGTAATCAATATTTTTAAAATTGAGATATTTTCATTATTTTGTACTAGAAATCAAGTTCCTATTTCATACTCAGTACATCAATTCAGATTTGCCACATCTCAATAGTCAGATGTGACTATTTAAATAAAATATGGTAGCCATTAGCCACCAGGACTATAAATTAGTACCTATTATTGCAGAAGACTCTGTCTCTGCTGTCCAACACATTTGCCACTAGCCACATAAGGCCACTGAGTAAGCACCTGAAATGTGACTAATACAAATGAGGAACTGAATTTTTAATCTTAAATTTAAATTTAAATTTATTAAGTAGCCAGAAGTGGAGCTACCAGACTGTACAGATCTGGAAGAGGAAATAGACACCTAAACAATTCACATACACTTAATGAGCTGGAGCTGTTACAAATGTTTATGAAAGAAATACCCAATATTAAATGAGCATGTGAAGCCAACAGAAGGACCTAACCTATTTTGTGGCTTTCAAGGAAGGATTCCTCAAGGAAATCACAATTAAGCAAAACCAAAGGATTTGAGTAGAGAAAACTGAAAACACAGTAGAAATAATGAAGACAAGTAACAAGAGGTAAAATAATATACGTTATTTGTAAGAGAATGATTTGGATCACAAAATCAAAACTCCACAGGAAGGCAGGAGGTGTGGAAGTAGCCCTACCACTTGGGAAAAAATAATAAAAGTCTCCCAAACAAGTCCTGAAACAAAGCTTGTCCCACCCTCACTCAGTGAAATCCAGCCATTCCAATCTTCTGTCAAATTCAAAGTCAAGTCAAGCACTTTGTATATGTGCCATTTGTGCCAGCACTTCCCTTCACTTGGGAAACTTCCTCCAAATTCTTGATTTTAGAACTCAGAATCACAGTTCCAAATTTTTTACACAGGACAACCTTTGGGGCAGTGATACAGTTGGAAGTGAAACTGTTTGCAAAGCAATTTTTTTTTTTTTTTTTTTTTGAGACGGAGTCTTGCTCTGTCGTCCAGGCTGGAGTGCAGTGGTGTGTTCTTGGCTCACTGCAACCTCTGCCAGGTTCAAGTGATGCTTCTGCCTCAGCATCCTAAGTAGCTGGGATTACAGGTGCCAGCCACCACGCCCGGCTAAATTTTTATATTTTTACTAGAGACGAGGTTTCACCATGTTGGCCAGGCACCTGGTCTTGAACACTTGACTTCAGGTGATCCGCCCACCCTGGCATCCCAAAGTGCTGGGATTACAAGCGTGAGGCCCCAAGCCAGGCCTGCAAGGCAATTTTCACAAAATACTTTTTGCCAAAAAACTTAGTCATTTTGGCCAGGGGAGGTGGTCCACACCTGTAATCCCAGGACTTTGGGAGACTGAGGTGAGTGGATTACCCGAGGTAAGGCGTTTGTGACCAGCCTGGCCAACATGGTAAAACCCCGTCTCTACTAAACATACATAAATTAGCCGGGCATGGTGTAATCTCAGCTACTCAGGAGCCTGAGCCAGGAGAACTGCTTGAACCCAGGAGGCAGAGGTTGTAGTGAGCCGAGACCAAGCCACTGCACTCCAGCCTGGGCCAGAGTGAGACTCCATCTCAGAAAAACAACAAAAAACTTAAGTCTTTTTTTTTTAATGTTCTGACAGACTGGAAAAGCTAAAGAAACTCCCATACGCACCTTGGTACCACCAATCAATTTAAACGTGACAGTCTCAGAACTTAGCACCTTCTACTATTTGGGGTTTTTTCGTTTTTTTTTTTTTGTTTTTGAGACGGAGTCTTGCTCTGTCATTGCCAGGCTGGAGCACAGTGGCGCAATCTTGGCTCACTGCAACCTGTCTCCCGGGTTCAAACAATTCT